CGTTACACCTAATCTTGAAATCTGATTCGTAGTTCAGGAGATCTGCGCCACTAACCTTGTACACATTTACGATATGCATCTATTTCAATTCATTTGTCACTATAGTTTATCATATTCAGTTTCTTCGTTTTTCAATTATAGGAGTTAGTGATACTCGCATAAATACACGTTCTGAAACAGTGTTTATTTATAAGCCGCATTATTTATACATTTCGAACGTAATCTCATATTATTTATAATATTGATTTTCAATGAGCATCTTTTTTTTTTATCCTTATTAGGTCTTTAATATTACACGGGAACCATGTCGTTTTGTATGGGTGTGCTGCTCATTGCTGCACATTGCTTGCTACGTATGCGTTGCTTGCTGCTCATTGTTGCTCGTTACTACGCATTGCTTGCTGCTCATCGATGCTCATTACTACTTAACTACTCATACGTATGCGTATACCGCTTCACTGCACTTCGCTCAGAATGATGCCCTAATTAAATCAAATTGATGATGATTTTACACTATTCATTTCTTTGATGTTGGTTTAGAAATTGTCGATTATATGCCACTTTGTTTCGAATAGGTAGTTAACTTTTATTTATTTAGCCTGCTTAAATTAAATAATTCGAATTAAATCGTGGTTTTATACCTTTTATCGGTTATGCTTCTTATATATCTTTTATGTTCTTTATTCTCTTATCTTTGATATTTGTTTCATTTGATCAAATAAGATCGTTGTCAACCTGGTTAAATAAAATACGGACCGCAAGATCTTTTTATTAATTAAATGCGTGTTACTATAAATACAGAATAAATATTCGCTTTAAATCTTCGTCATTACAATTTTGTAACTGAAATTGACACCCGACTGAAGCTATACCTGCCTAAGAGCGTTCTCAAACGCCTTTATCGATAGGTCAGAGGGTATCGGTGAATACGTTGAGCGGGTCAAGAGTGATTGTCATTGTGATGAATATTTCAATAATATTCATAATTTGATAAGTTTATTACGTGAATAAAATATTTATATTAGTAAAAAAAATTTTATTTTCAATTTGCAAATTTTTTAATGTAGACCTTTTTTTTTTTTTTATATCCGGCTTGGTAAAATTTACCGTTAATTAAGTATTCAAAAAAATCACTCAAGTAGCTTTATTATGGTGCCAACTCTCATCATCAATGTATTATTATTTTATTCATCATATTAAAAGTTTTTATGAAAAATAAAGAAATATCAGAAGGCCGAAAAAACAATTACGGATGCTTACTATTTTTTAATCGGAAACAAATTTTACTATTTTGCAGATAATTTCATTTCTACAACAATCAAATACTGGCGAAGACTGGCGACGAACATTTGATAAGTAAAAAACAATTCTTGAATCGCTCAAGTATCAATTGCAATTTTTATTTAATAAATGTGCGTTGTCACGTTTACTAGCTAATCGCATCGAGAATGACGCTTAAGAAACATCATCATTTGTATATTCGAATTGTCAACAAAAATTTTATATAAATATTACGGTCACTAGCTAATCACATCGAAGTTGAGGTTTGAGAATGCCTTAACGTTGTAACTTACCTCTTATCGGGGTGTCTACTTTATTTGATTTATTAATATAATGCAGGTCACATAAACTTTAAACTTTAATTAGATTTAATAATAATTGTCACGGCTGATGCTGAAATTTGGGTCTCCATTTGAAAATATAAGCCCTGTCAAAATCCACATATACACTTTAATTATCAATTCTAGTCCAAAATCCCTAAAAAAAAACAGCCCGAAAAAATTTTAAAATTTCATATCAAAATAGGTCCAAATTTCAATTTCAACATCAGCCGCAACAATAATTAATTTTTGCCTTATTACTATTTTACAGAAACTTGAATATCTTAATGCACGGTAACTGCATAGTGACTATATAATTACTATTAACTTTAATAGTAACTATATAGTTACTATGTAGTAACTGCGCATTAAGATATTCAGGTTTCCGTATAGTATGTGGTCTGCATTATATTTATAAATTATATAATATAGCTATTTGTATTTGTACGTAGATAGATCAGAGGATGCTAAAAAGAACAATTTTAAGAGAAATTCAATAAACATCGCATAATAACACGCAGGAGTGTAATTTCGAATTTTGGCTTAAATTAAGACCAAAATTCACAATAACACTCGTTATTACGTGAAATACGTTGTTAAATTTAGCATTTTTGGAGAAAATTTGGCATAAAAATATGCAAACTCAGATCTGACCTATCTACGTATAGCTCGGGATCCTTGTTATTATTCTTATGTAAAGAAACTTTTTATTAAACACCTCGCCTTTATAGAATTTAAAATGTTAAATACAATCAATTTTTTTATAATGATTCAATATAGTATACCAATTTAAAAAAAAAACCACCATAAAAAAAACTTTTATTCTACGCGCCCTGTGGTTGATTATACGAAATCTTATTTATTAAATTATTGGTTGATAATTCTGTAATTGATGAAATTGAAACACGGACTTTCCATATAGGAATAACAATTAACGTTAACATTAATGTTGATCCGATTTTCCGAGAATTTTGTCTTGAATATTTATAAAGTTGTACGATAAAAAGGTTTGGAGATTAATAAATTAAAGTTAGATAATATATAGCTATTGGATACGAAGTATCCAATAGCTATATATTATCAATGTGAAGATTTTTTTTTTTTACTCTTATAACACTTATAACGTTAATATATTGTAAACAGCTTCACGATAATAAATAATAAATTCTAGAATTAGAGAAAAAACATTCGACTACGTATTCATTCGATTGTTACGACCATAAACAGACATAATCAAGTTTTTAATGATTAAAAGGCCATTTAGGTGTGGTTCATGTGAATAACCATGAGTTGTGGTACATAAATACCTAGAAACCTCAATTGTTTCTCTAAATCTGTATGTAAATTAGCTATGTAAATATGTAAATATGTACAGTATATACATATGCAGGTCAGCTATCTCAAACATGTAAACAAAACCCTTTATATACGAAAAAACATTGTTATATTTGCATTTTGGTCTCAGATTCTCTTGCAGTCGTTCGCTTGGTTTTTGAAGCATCCATGCACTTGATTTTTAATTTCCTATTTGTATCACTACATAATTAAACTAATAAAGTCGGGTGGAAATCGCGGATATTTGATCTGTTGTTGCTTTTTTGTTCCTTTTCTCTTTTTTGCTTGATCCTTCTTTAAGCACTTCTATTCTTTAAAAAAAAAATTTCAATCATGCGGAAATTGCACTTACGAAAAATATTGATGATAATAATGTGTATATTTTTATACTTAGTTGCACAAGCATTGACTGATGACATAAACGTTCTTACTTTCAAAGAGTTACTTCCTGAATCTAAAGTGGTGGACAGGGCGAGTTATGACGATGGAACTATATTATTACGTGTCACGAGACCTAGTAATAATTTAATGGATTGTAATTCTCAAGGAGTAAATTTAAGATTGATCCACCCGAATGGAACAATTTCTTCGATTGATTTGAATGTATCAATACCTGATCTAAATTATTGTTTGATAACTGGAAACATGTTCACTAAAAGACCAATAATCAATAAGTCTGTTACTTCGACATTGAGTACATCGGATATCACTAATAATGATATTACCGATAAAACTTCGGATGCTATAAGAATTTATGCAATAACAGATCAATACATACTTGTAACTTATTTCTGTAAGTTGCCTGACTCTTTTGATATTTGTGGTCTCTTGTTGACCTGGGATTCGCGTGTTCTTAGGTTCGTCTGACACTATTCGTTTAATGATTTTAAATTTTATAATTATTTATTTTTTTTTTTTAAATCTATTAAACCTTGTTTATTCGGTCAATGCCAGTAATACGAATTTTGGGGATATGTGTACGGACAGTGAATTTGTTCGGAATATAAATACAATAGATGGTAATTTCTTGCTGGTATGCTATGTCTCTGATGCTCAAAAGATTATTTGGACAAGATATTCTTCACCGTAAGTTTATCGCTTTTTGCACATGATACCCTAAAATACTTTTTTCATTCTTGAATATTCTATGATGTCTTAAAGATTTTATTAATTATTATTTTCTTAACGCGGGTTGGATTCATAGCGACGCAACCACGGGTGCGATTAATGTTATTTCGAATGGAACGTTGAATAACATCGCTCGTTTTAATCGTGACATCTCTAAAATTTTTCCCATTGAAGATGGAGGATACGGGATAATCATCACCAAATACAATGACACCCCTTCAAACTTCAACTTTCCAGTGACAATATATGTCACTTTCATCCCAGCTCACGGAACTGATACAAAAGGTCCATTTCAGATATATACACGATCAATTGATATTATAACAACCATAAAAATAGTTGGTTGTCACATTTCCTATGTTTTTCTTGGATACAACTGTTTGATATATATTAATCATGCTTCAAACATTATTCTTGTTGACGTAAACTTTTTATCTTCTGGATCAATAATGTCCACTCACGAATTTCTTATTGATCCGATCACATCGGATGTATGGAATGTTTTACCCTTGCATTATGGTGGAAATTGTATAATGGCTATAAATATGACAGATGAGTCTGTTACTGGTATCATTTATAGCGATGGTAATTTTCACGGTTCGTGGGGGTTACCGAAAAATTATTCTTATACTCATTCTGTCGGCGTGTTTCCTAACAATACGATATGGGCAATTGCTAGAGATTCCGTTGGATGGTCGGTGGTTTCTTCTTCGACCTTCACAATATATAATACAAGTACGTGTTTATATCGGTATATAACAGTATATATTACATGTTTATAACAATATATGTAAATATTGCCATACATAATATGAAATATGATATTAATTTCCATGATTCCTAGGTCTTGCTATCTACGGAAATGTATTTGTTCAAAAAACTTTTCCATCAATAAATTCAACAATATCACCTACAAATATCACGACAGTTACCATAACATTTCTTAATGACATTAAAATGTCCAATGGGAACATTAGCATATGGGAATTCAGTGAATTTCACAGAATTCTTCGTCAATCATTCTCTGGAAGTCAATCTCAATATATTCAATTATTTAGCAACAAAACTGTAGTTGCTACTGTACTGTCTAGCACATTTAACAAAGTGAATTCTATATATTATGTTACGGTTGATAATGGTTTCGTTAAAGATGCTAAGGTTGATCAACAACTTTTAGGAGTAAAGCCAACATTATGGAATTTTACCACAGGTATAATTAATATTAGCATTAATGATTCATTAAATTTTTAATTTAAATCATAAATTTTTAATTTTTGTTTTTTTTTTTTAACACTAGATTTTTCCTTGGAAAATGACAAGGACGATGGTAAAATGTTAATTTGTGTATGGACTCTCATGATGTTACATAAGGTTCAATGCGCATTAAGCGGAATCTCCTCCACCGGTATTGAGGACGTGATTCTGTAAAATGCTCACTGAATTTATGCACCGTTTTCGATTAACAAAAAAATTATTACTCATTAATTAATCTTATTTTATTATATTTTTATTAGATTTCGCTAGTGCCATCGTTCGATTTACTCCAGAAGGATCAACGTTTTATGAAAACCTTTCATCACAGGAACAGTCCAAATTTTCTACTGATTTTTCTAGACAATTAGCAAGCATAATTCCATGTGATCCGGCAAGAATATCTACAACTAAAAAATATCAATACGATAGAAGTGTTTCAGCAAGCCAAATCTTATTTCGCGTAAATATTGGTAGACCTACAAGTTCATCTGAGATTAATTCCGCTAGAATAATACAAGATATGGATACTTTGATCCGAAATAAAGCTGTCACGCTGATTTCAAAAAGGTCGAATACTTTTTATTTAGACTCTTCTTTTGGATGTTTCAGAGCTCGTAAGTTTATCAAATCAATGATGAAGTTATACGGTAGATTTATACTGTATGATAAATTTTATTAATAAATTTTTTACTTAAATTAAGCGGGTTTGTGGGTGAGATATCGGTGGATAATTCTTGGAATTGTGATTGTATTTCTGATTTTACTCTTTTTATTCTTCTTGGCGAAACGAAGAAATAAGCAGGTATACATTATATCACATAGCTGTTTATATTTATATGATAAATCACACGTCATTAAAAAAGATCAAGAACAATGTTATGTTTTATAGGGGAATAATTACGTAATATTCGTGTTCACTCTTGTATTTGTGGATTTTGGATTAGATATTGCGTTTGTAATAATGCATGGAAAAGATTTGACATGGCTATATCCCATAAGGTTGACTTATATATTATATATTTAAAATATTCTAAAATATTCAGAGAAAAAAGACAATTGTCTAATTTTTCTTTTTTTTTCAGCTTAATATTCTTAGTTATTCCAATATGCTTGAATAGCATATTTACCCTTTTTATAATATCAGGAGAACAATCGACAAATAATATTTTTGCAAAATGGTGGCAACAATATTCAAAAACTGCATTAATATTTATCTTCATCTCTGGATTAGATTCAGATATTTTAAATTTTATGGCATCAAGAGTTGCAGGAATTTCAGCACTTAGCGCACCTTTCCTGTGGAAAACAAGAAAAATTGTTTGTTTTTGGAACTTGTTTATTTCGATTATTGAAGACGTATCTCAATTTGCAATTTTGGTAAGAATTATAATCATTATCCTTTCTTCTATATAGATTCTCATATACTATACTTTTTTTCATTCACTTACAGAATTAAATTATCTTTTCTTGTAATAGATTTTATACCAACATTTCACAGTACTACCAGAAATAATTCCAATTCTAGTATTAGCATCATGTTCGTTATTAATCCTTTTAAAGTTATTCACGATCATAACTTTCATCAAAAACATATATAATAATGACATACCCAAACAAATAGAAAAAAAATCAAAAGATTTTTTCTCAGATTCCACAAACGCACATCATGCTAAACGTAGTATACGAACTAACGATGAAGAAATCGTTGTCAATGATGATGAAGACGACGAAATAAGTGGAATACCATTTTCTTCACACCTAGGCTTTTCTCGAAAAAAATCTACATCAAATCATGAAAAGCATAAGACAGCAACGTCATCATCAATTTCAGATTTCTATAAAACAGAAGAATATATAAATGATAATGGTGAAGGTGGAATAGGAGATCATGGTAGTCCAACTTTTTACAATAATTTAACTGAAGATCACTTTCATCATCAACGATCAAACGTTCATAGTTTATTTTCATCGGTGGGGAAACGTGAATCATCACCTGAAACCGAAATATCTGAAAATGTGATGTTGGCTACTAATTCAGTGGGTGAACCTGTATTCTCATTAAGAAATCCTGAAGAATATAGAGGTCCAAAGATCGTACAACGATCATTAAAAGGTAAACTTGTTGAAGACTCTATAATTAATATTGAAGATAGTTTATTTGAAAATATGAGTAGTAATGAAGCGGGTGGAAGTGGAATAATAGAGAATGTACATGATGATGTATATGATGATGGTGGAAAGAAGAGTAGTTCATCGAAACGTTTGAGTAATATGGGTGTTATTGGAAATACGGATGAATTATTATTTGAAGAAGAAAATATAGACGTGGTAGATTCGTAATATAATAAAATAACATCAAAAAATTTACACAACTTTATAAGTTAAAAAAAAATATTATAAGATTTGTAGTAAGTTTTAGATATCAATTTATTCTGTATAACGCGTTTTGAGTTATAAATGTCCAAGATGTAAATTTTTCGTTTTTCTTCAAAACCTATTTAATGAATTACCATCTAGCTTTTAGACTATATAGAGGTAGTGTCAACTTAATTGGTGTTTTTTGATTTTCACCTCGGGTACTGAATGCAGTACTCTACGATATTAATATTCATTTACAACCAAATACAAATCTAAAACTATTCAATTATATGTTTTTCAAACTTTAATAACAATTTTACTCTTTTGTTTATTGGTAAATCTTTGATAATAGTTATTACCATCACGGTTTTTTGGAGTCAAACATAGCCACCAAAATCTTATATCTAAGCTTTTTTTGATGGTGATGCTGTAGAAGAGTTATAATGGTCATCAGGAATCGAAAATTCCCATTCTTGAGATCCTAAAATTAAAAAATAATTAAAACTTTTATCAATTAACCAAAAACTGGATATAATAAGCGTAATTATTTACCAGGAATTTGTGCCAATTTTGCAGACAAAGAATTAATTGGCACAGAAAGGTTTTTAAAATTAAGCAGTTTACTTGTAAGTTTATCTTTAGGGAAAATTGGCAATTCGGTCGGTAACGTTGGAATAATTGCATCTGCAGACTGGAACGCTTTTAATAATGCTAATTCATTTTTATCTTCTGAAATACTCTCATCTAATATCCGATACCATTTTCATAATTCTTTATGGATATTAGATGCAGTTGGTCTATTAAAAGGATTAGAATCCATACATTGATTTGCTAATTTGATATAGCACTCAGGAGTGCCTTTAGCAAATTCAGGGCGTAATCCATTACAACATATTTTAATAGCTAACGCTTCATCATATTCAACATCATAATGAGGAGGTCTCCAAATAGACATCTCAGCCATAATAATACCAAAACTATAAATGTCAGCAGCTATTGTATATGGGTGTTTAAGTAACACTTCTGGCGCAACGTAAGGTAAAACGCCATAAATACAATCTTCTAAATCAGAATCATCCTTCTTTCTAGATAACCCTAGATCTGCAATATAAGATATTAGATCACCACTAATATGTTGATTTAACAGTATATTACCGCTATGGAAATCCCCATGAACATATTCTGATTCATGAACCTTTGCTAGATTTTCAGATATATCCACAAGCTGCTTTTAATTTACTTTTCCAGTTAAGATCTCTAAAATTTGAAGATAGGAAATTATGAAGACTTCCCTTATTTGCATATTGAAATACCATCAAATATTCGTTATTAGTTGTTTCTTGAGTTAGTCCATATACTTCAAGATCATTACCCACTAATCTAAATTCTATATAATTTTTAAACTTGTTAAAATTTATAATGTTAATAATTTACCTATAATTTATCTATATTAGATATAAATAAATTATTTCAACTTAAAAAATTTTTTTGTGAACCAGGTAAAGTTTTAAGGGCAACTACATATGATGATGTACGTGATTGTACGTACTCAAAATCCGAACCTGAAACTATTCTTTTACCATCTAACCACGTTGCTGAAACGATCCCCTTTACCAATGATTTGAACATTAACTAATCTATTAAAAGGAATCCATTCGATTACATTTTTATAAGATGAGGCTTTAAGTTGAAATTCTTTAATACAATCATCGACATCCTTATTTCCGCTTGTCCATCCTTGTGTTATTTTCTGAGGATCACATGATTGACACCAAGCTCTAGATGTGTTATATCGGTTGCAATTTGCACATTTTCCATTATACACAGATCTTTTAGAGTCAAATTCATCAAATACTAATATATGCTCATTTGTTGCGATGTTCTGAATTAGACCATATACTTTAAAACCACTATCCTTTAACTGTACATTATCTACAAACTTATTAAACATGCAAGTAGTAGAGTTATATATTGTATAACAATGAGAAATGATTAAATGGCGTTGCCAGGAAAAATCACACTTTGGGATTTAACTTTATTATTTACAGTACCAGACTAAGCCTGATTGTACCCGGTAAATTAGTAATAAAAATACACCGTGATCTTGATACAAGTGTTGCAACACTCATTTAATAGTCGATTATTTTAAATTTAAAAGCCCAAAACTTTGGCAATACCAAGTATTTTAACTTACTTCTCTTAACTTATCTAATAAATTTTGTGATCTAAATATTTTAAGCTCCACTTTATATGATGGCATACGTGACTGTGTATATTTAACTTCATTAACTACATATTTTGCATATCGTATTCCATCCAACCAAGTTGCAAAATATTTATCGCCAATATTTTGAATATCAGCTAATCTCTTAAAAGGAATCCATTCGATTACTTCTTCATATTTCGTAGCTTTAAGTTGAAATTCTTTAATGCAACCATCGATATCCTTATTTCCACTTGTCCATCCTTGTGTTGTCTTCCAAGGGCCACATGTTTGACACCAAGC